CCTAAACCCTAAATAGTCTTCCAGAGAAGCTGCAGCTCACGAATCGGGCGTATGCGGCTGGCCACACGGTCACGAACATACCTAGGAGGGTCCCCACTTGAAGGGTCGGGGTTTAGGGTTTAGGGAGTGAACCACAAAAAAAGGTAATTTGTAGTGACAGGTGACAAGTACACATAGAACCCAAACTCATCTTCTAATATGTGATATGCTAAGTCCGGGCGCTGATCCCCCAAGCAAACACTGAGCCCAACGCAACGAAGGAAGACTCCTGCATTCCACATCAATGTAGACCCTGCAACCCGCAACACCCGCAAACCACGCACACGAAGACCCCAAGAGCCCCAGCAGACCGCAGACCTTAAACCCGCAAGCCACACAGAACCCGCAGACCGCATGCCATGCGGCAAGAGAGACCGAGTCACGTCAATGCGGACTGCAACCACTCGTCAACTCTCATGCCTCGAGGTGCTGGCTGGAGGCTGGAGGAGTCTCGGCAGACCATGGTTCGCATAATCGGAGCGAAGCGCAGGCGACACCAGCGACTCCAAAGCCAAAGCGCTCTGAACCCCGAGCACTGAGTGAGCGAATCAACGTGCTGCCTTCTTGAGGCGCACGTGGAGCCGAAGCACACCAGGCAAAAGAGGGTCTACGGAAGCAAACCACTTTCCCGCTGCAACATTGACTTGCTCACGGCTCAAGAAGCCTGGAAATGAAGGCGACGATGCCCCAACAAGAGCCAAACCGCCGACAACATGAAGCCAAGATCGACACCATCACCATCAGCATCAACGGCAACAGTCTCGTTGTCATCATGTGATCATCACCACCACAGTCATGGTACGAAAGACCATCCGCATCCAAGACGATGAGCCTGCCACTGCAGACCCCGCAGACCCCACAACCCCCCGCCAACCCTGCAGACACAGGCCCAGCAAACTGCCTCCGAACTGTGCAGAACTACAAAGTACTGACAATCATCGCACTAAAAATCATGCTTGCATTAGTATTAGCATTGCTATTGGTATCAGACTTTGTATACGTATTGGTACTCGTATTCGAACTTATGTTGACATGAGTACTCAAATCCATGGTAGTGTCAACAAAACATCGGCATCTAACACGAAAGGTGATGATAATGTTAACCTTATGCTGATCATGACGATTGCTACTGCTGCTACTACTACCGTTACTACTGAAATTATTATGCCGACTCTCATTTTGTTTAGTATTATGACTAGTTGTATGTTGGTAATATTGTTATTGGTTATTACTATCCGTATCATGCCTGTGCCACTGCCACTGCCACTGCTGCTGCTGCTGCTGCTGCTGCTGCTGCTGCTGCTGCTGCTGCTGCTAGCACTACCACT